CTACGGAATGCTTTTACATGGGCCCCCCCCCCCCCCTCCCCGTGCGTCCTACTGATAAAAACGACTCTAGAGATCACTGGGCAAGTCAAACCACAGTTGGGAATCTGAAAATCTGGCAAAATGGAACGGTGCACGGCACGGGACACGGAGGACTCACGTTTCCCACGGGATACCAATCGTCGGCGTCCTTCAGCCTGGCGTATAACCTCGCAACCTTGCCCCCCTCGGCCTTGATGGCGTTGTACTCCGAGAGCATGTGTCTCGCCACCGCCTCCCCCGTGGTTAAGGTTTTCCCCTGCTGCGGAGGCTTTTTTGCCCTGCCCCCGCCGAAGCCTTGCTTCTTTCGCTTCGCGGTTTGGTGGGGCATCTCGAAGCCGCTCATGCTCAAAGGGCGCCCTCCTTGTTGTCGCTGCAGCCAAGGCGAGGGGTTCAAGGTATGGTATGTGTGCAATCGTGCAAGACATCAGGGTCGAGGTTTTGATGGAAGGAGGCGGCAGCAAGGGAATGACATCATTGTCATCGACGCGCAGGTCTTGCTTGAGTCGTCTGTTTTGACACGTTTTCTCATGCACATGTCCCGTAAAACGTCCCCCTTTCCCGTTGCCATCAGCATCGCTGATTCGGTGTGCCTCGCATGCAACACGTCACACGGTAGGCGCTTCTCAGCGAGCTGCCCTATTGACTATCTACGTACCTCGAAGTGATAGCCGACCCCTGAGAAATGTACTGCCGCCGGGTCATACACATCGATGCTACTGCTGTACAACGAGGATTGTACAACACTTTGTACACCAAACAGCTGGAAGTAAATCTGCGGGGTTCCGCTAGAAGGTACCAGGGTCTAACATACACGAAAATCAGAGGACTTGTGATGCATAAGGAGGAGGCAGAGCACTAGGAGATTCCACCCGCAGGTGTTTGCACGGCTGACGCGAGGCTCCACCGTACCAAAGAAGTGCTGCTGTGTCATTCTATGCATACGAACCTTCTCAGCGGATAGAGCGCGGCAACGACATTGTTACCAACAGACTTTGCATGTATACTCAGCGGAATATCAAAACTCCAATGCTTCTGCACCGGATGACGGCCTACGTGTGTTCAGCTAGTTCAGCACAGGAGTAGCGCTTGGGATCATTCGTGCCGAGCAGGGACTGCGGAGAGCAATACCTACAATACAAGTAATGACGCGGTGGGTCTGAATTATAGTACACACTTGAAGCCTGCCATTAGGACAATGTCAACACAGAGTAGCTCGTGTAACTAGCACGCGATGGGGCATAAGTCGCGTGCATCGGCGTTGCCAACCAGCAAAAGCATCATCTGCAGTGACAGAGCGGGAAAGAGAGAGAGAAATGGAGATATCATGTGAGTGTTTCCCGCATCATCATCATCATCATGTCGAACTTCACCTGATGCTGGCATCCCGTTGTTGGACCCGGAACCAGCGAAGCCCGGGGCACCCCTAATCTTCCGGCAAGAAAGGCGTCGCATGCCCCGAAGCCCAGTAGGGCAGCCACAGATATCACACGCTTCGAGAAAAGCATACCTGGAAAGATAAAGGGCCCAACGACGTGGACGAGTGCAGGTGTTGGTTGTACTGGTGTCGCTGTCGTTGTTGCTCGGTTGCGCGGGCAAGTGCACTGAGGGGTCCCGTAGTTTCGTAACCCCAACGCCCCACGCGGCAACTTGTTTGTTCCCGTTCGCAACTTTTGGCGTTTCGACCACGAGCTAGAGAACAGCGTTAGAGATTGCTCAAGAAACCAGATGACGAGACTCTGGTGGATCCTTTGATGTTGTTGACACAAAAGAAAGCCACATCGAACATGATAACTGCTGTATCAAGCGGAAATGTTGTTATGGCATATTGCACTGCTGATATACTAGTAATATTCGGACAGTTGTTGTTGTTGTTGTTGTTTCTCACATTAGCTCTAAAAAAAAAAGATTGGGAGCCCGTGGTCTCAAAACCCGGCATACTGGACCCCACGAAGAAACAGAAAAAAATAGGGTACAAAAACCACTCGGAAGAGAAACAAAATGATAGAAAGAAAGACCAGCTACCGCACCAAACGAGAAAGAGCGTCGAGGAGACCGATCAAAATAAAATAAAAGGAGAACGGGGAACGCTTCCCACACCCGCCTACAACGCCGGAGGGTTCCGTGCCGGGTTCCCGCCGACCAGGCATCCCCCGCCCTGCACCACACCCCAGGGGGTGCAGCAAGACGGGGGGCGAAAAACAAACACATATATATTTCTACAAAAAAATAAAAAATCGAAGGACAACGTACACCAGTACCAGGTACTACAGCAGTGCAGTATGCACCAGCGCATTAGTGTAGGGTAGGCACCGCACCAAAGAGGCAGCAGAGGTGGCAGGCAGCCAGCAAAGGAAAAGAACAAAAATAACAAGGAGCTCGAGGTATCGTCCAAGATCATCGTAGAGAGGGCATGGAGAACAAGAAAGAAAGAAAGAAGAAAAGCACAAAGAGAGGCCGGAGGCAATACTAAGAGCATACAGCTTACGGCAGGGAAAAGGGAACACAGGGTGCGACAACATCATCAGTTGGGTACGTCGTTCGCCGCAAGCGCGGCCTTGGCCGCCCTACTCGCTTCTACAGCAGTGTCCAGTCGCCGTTTCTTCCCCCCCCCCAGCCACAGCAGTGTGGGAGACGGAAGGTCAGAGACGTTGTCTTCAGTACAAATGTGCACAGAGTGATGAGGTGATAACAGCAGAAGGCAGTAATAGTACATTGCTGAACATGTTTCCTTCGACAAAGGGACATCATTTATCCCGCAGCATCCCTATATGTTCCCTTCGACAAAGAGACACCTATCCCGCAGCATCCCTGTATGTTTCCTTCGACAAGGAGATACCATTTATCCCGCAGCATCCCTACATGTTTCCTTCGACTAAGAGACGTCATTCATCCCACAGCATTCCTACCGACGCTGGCTGCTGAATACTCCATGCCAGGTTGTCCCGGCCTGACTCTTGTCCCCNGGGGAGGGGGGGGGGGGGGGGGGGGGGGGGGGGGGGAGGGGCTGCAGGTCCGCTGCTGATCGCGTCGAGGTACTCACATGGAGAATGTGAGGATCGGCCTTGCCTCTTACTTGACCAGTCAACTGCTTCAGTTCAACCGACGGCACAATACCCACAGAAACCAGCACCATATTTTTCTCGAGCTTTATTCGCTTCATGCACTTTCCATACGCCATTTAGAAGTAAAATTTAAATTAGTACTACGGCAGTAGTTGCTCCTGAATACGACTGTAGCCCACCTGGGAACGTAACACCAGTACGTAGCAGAATAGTATATGTAGAAGTAAGATACATCGTGGAAATCGAGACACTCCTTTCCATACAAGCATTGGCACCTGTAAATGCAATAAATTAGGGTCGGAGATACGTATTATGTTTCATCCCCGCCAAACAACCCAAAGCATCCCCTCACCCCACACCACGTGGTGATGACTACGGAGACTTGAGCGGACGGCAGGGCTAGCGGGAATTAATACCGCGGCGGATCCGGCCGCAGCAAAAAGAAAGTGCAAAATGAGGCTGACTATGTACATAGGCTGACTACGTACACATTCAGCACGAAAAATCTAACTCATATTACAACACGTAACACACGTGTCAGCGTGCGTGGTAACACGGCGCACCCTGGAACGAGACGAAGCGGAGTGCTTGCACGGTGCAGCATTGCACAGGGAACGCCATAGAGGTGCAAGGCGGCAACACACCTAAAGTGTAGACCATCGGGTGATATGCTTGACATCCACTACATGCTCGTGTTGTAATTAGCGTGACGGTATGTGGTCCGAGACGTGATTTGACACGCCTCGAATACGAGAGCGGTGTTGCGTATGCACCAGGAACAGGAACCACATGGCGCGTCCAACACCGTATTTTTGCACGTATCTGACGGAAGAGACATAAGCCTGGGGCCTTGGTCCAAGAATTGAACGATGTAGAAAACCGTCCGGTTTCGAAAGGACTGCTCTACATTATACACACCGAAGTCCACGTGAAGCTTTAAGTTTGTACCAAACGTGAGCACCAACAAGTATAACAGCCACAGAAATGAGCCATCCAAGTGTCACGCAATCCCAGCCCGTAACCAGTGTGGCGATGAAGCACTCCGCCTGGTTTCATACAGAATGGTTCCCGCACCACCTCGTCCACGTGAAAATTCAACTTGCTTGGCGTTTCAGAATTCTCGACCTCGAGACGCCTGGTTTGCACTACGATCTATGATTGATTCCAGCCAAAAATACACACGGGCGATTTCGTATTGTACGAGTGCAAAACGTCTTTCGAAACATTCGCCGGCAAGGTTTTGGGTTGGTCATGCATGTTAAACACCGACTGGTACATACACGGTTTGCAGCTCATGAAAACCCAGGCGGTTGTGGGACTCCTGTCTCAGTACGTCAGAAGGCGGTCCTATTCACAGTAGTTTGCACTCCGAAGGGGGTTCCATACGGTTTTTCCGCCGCTTTTCCCGGACCAACAGCGAAGATTATGGAGCCCAGAATTTTAATTTAAGTGAGAACCAGATCGCCCGACCACACAACCATCAACAGCGTCGTAAGGCGGAAGCTGACGCAAGCCATCCAAAGCTGTAGAGTGTCGACGGTCGACACGCGACACCCCGTTTGTTTGTTGTTTGTCGTAAATTGTTGACGCACCGAAGAGTATGCATGAACCCGTCGTTCCACCGCATAACATTCATGGCAGTATGCAAGCTGATTGTGACCCAAAATTCGGTGGGTACCAACGATAGCTGTGGTGATCCTACAACAGAGAGCGGGAGGCGAAACAATCGCCCAGTACGTATCTCATTCGGCGCCAAGCAAGTAAGTAACCGTGTTCACCGAGCTTTTGTGGGCAAGCTCGAGACTAGGAAAAAGACGAACGACACAATTGACACTTGTTGACTATATCTGCCCTCCATAGCTGTTGAACCATGGGGCTGGACGACGCAGTCGGCACCGCCTTTAGTTTGCTTGTGCTACGACGAACTCGTGGAAACCTTCTTGGTCTTCAAGTCGTAAATAGCTCCATCGACAATTTGGATCAAACCTGAATATTTGCCAGAAGGCTAAGTAGATTCGAGATAAGTCACAAACACAACCCCACAACGCCATGTAGAGGGTGACGAAAGATGCTAGCTGTGTCCACAATTGCGTTTCAACAGCATCGTTCCGTCATCCGGAAGTGTGCGAGCATGCGTCAGCAGCAAGAAGAGCAGCGACGTCGGACCTTGCCGGGCGGTCGTCGTCGCCGCTGCCGCCGTGCACGTGGCAAGAGGCGATCCCAAATTGCACCCGGGCAAGGGTTTCGGAGATCCCAACTGCTGTGTGTGGCCACAACCCACTCGTTTTCCGACATGAGTTGTCTAGCCTGCGGAATCACGGATACGTTTGCAAGCAGTCATCCCGGAGGTATGGGCTTACTCGACGACTGTGGGCGGGCCCAAAGAAGCACCGGGTTTGATAGCAGGCGCAGCAGGCGATAGCAACGGCGACGTGTGTGTATGTGTGTTCCGCCAGCAATGGTTGCGATGGCGATGCTGCTGTAGCGGCAGTCGAAGGCGGTACAAGCGCAATATCCCACACTACCGGCAGCTTTGCTAATCCGCTCAAGGGGCACCCATGGGCAGCCCTGAACAGCCCACTAAGTGCCCACTGCCCACCGTGGGCACTTCAACCTAGATTTCGCCACCGGCATATCAATCTAGAACTTGCTAGCACATCAACCTGGAACTTCGCCACCCAGCGCCAACCTCTAGTCTAGTAGCACGTCTCGTGTGGGTTTGGGGTTAGGATTGTAGCGTTACAAGCCGTTATATGCCCGTTCCAGGGCAGATAAGCTATTGTTTTGGAGTGTACTGGTTCCGTTGAAGGGCAACCATTGGCCGCTGCTGCCCACGGGCTTGGGCATTACCCATGGGCGGTTTTGAATGTGTGGGAGACCCCACCAGCGACGAATATTGTTTCGGCAGCTATTTTTGACGAGAGACGGTTCCAACGCCCAAGTCACTCTGTTAATCCTGCAGAGTGATACAGAGAGCTTTTTGGTAATCGGTCCATCCAGGAGGTGGGTGTGGAATCTTAGGCAACCCAACCAAGAAGGTAAATCGGGTACACAGAGGGACCGAAACGTTACCTACAGCAGGCAGAGCCATGACACTTTTGGATAGTTGTGTTGTTGTTGTTGTCTTCACATAAAAAAAACTGTTCCAATCTCTCTCTACCCAGTACCTTCGCCTGTCCGTACTGATACAACACTCGACGCGGTCGATTCCCGTGGTCGCAGGCTAACTTACCCTAAAAATTATGTGGACTGCGACGACTGCGGTTTTGGTTCCCGGCACATCCAATGTAGTGGTCTCCGTGTTTCTGCTGTGCGGGAGTGCCCGCCCTCAACTGCGTGTAAATGAGAGAGCGAGGACGGCATGTTTTGAAACTGAGGTGAACACAAACAACCCTTTGCAACCCATCATGGGCGGTTGTCCACAGGGACGGAGAGCAGTTTGTCCTTGGCTCTTGCGGCGGGCGGCAGGAGAACGTTTTCATGCGCTCTAATCCACGAAATCCCTGCTGGCAGCACTCGCACACTGAGCATAGAGATTCTATATAGGCTGCTGCACACCACACACACTTACGCGCCGGTTGACCATGCTGTTGGGGTCAACTGTCGGGGCCGAATCGAGAGAGGACTCATAACACCCGCCAGGATATTTGATTCTTTACGGTTGTTGCACCGTACCGTGTGCACAGAAATTTCCACCCATCCGGTACATCTCTCTCCATCTCTCTCTCTCTCTCTCTGACTCTCTCGATACACCCGAAGTCCTGGGCACACATCTTCCTGGCTGCCAGTTGCTAGAGTACGGCTGAAGCTCTCAGCAGCTCCTGGCCTAGCCTTTGGATTGCACACCCTCGACAAGGCAAGAGGTGAGCACTTTGTGAAGCCCGTTGCCTATGACCCGGATCTTGGCAACTGCTTTGATGTACAGCAGTATCTCTCTCGGCACGCACCTCTGGCAAGGACATGCATGATGCAGGTGGTGATGAAAAACACTTAAATGGCTTTGCGAAAATGCTGCCGGTCCGCTTTGTTCGTGTGCCCTTGGTCATCATGTGGTTGCAAACCCGAGGAGTTGACCCTTAGCTTATGCAGTGGATCTGTCCATGAGACCTCTCCTTCTCAACCACACCGCATACACGAACGCAGGTACGTGCAACAGCTGAGCCGACGGTGTTGTTGGTTCCATCAACGGCACACTCGGTTGTACTCGCCAAGAGGCCCAAGAGGCGCTCGTCTTCCATGTGGCTGCCCCGCCTCTGGCACATTTCATATTCTGCTGCTCATGAAAGCAATGTCCGGGCCGTGTTTAGGTACGCCCCTCCTCTCGAGCTGTATCAACGCTGGTGATGAACGCGAATGTTGCCCCATTCGTATGGGCTGGCTCCGTTTATAATTGAACCACCTCCATCCGCCTCGCAGCAGGGCCAAAAAGTCTAGGTTGGGGTTCGCAAAACACGAAGAGTTTTTTTCTTGCGGATAGAAAACCGACCAACTCCAAACAGAGCAATATATTGAACGATTGTTGCGATCAACCACAGGGGGCGGAGACAGCGGACTCTGTCTATTGCTTCCGTGGGCATCTCCCTCTGTACCCCTCTGCCATCATAACCGTGGCACACGCAACACCGTCAGCAGGCAGGCTCCAGCAGCGGACTTTTCTCAGCGCACAACAAACAGCAGTGTGACTGCCTGCCTTCGCACCAACAACTGTATGGTGACGCGAGAAAAAGATACTTTTTGCACCATTTTTCGATACCGTCTCACCCAGGGATGCACACACCACCGGGGGTGGCGTGTTGTCGGCTCGTTGTCCTGCTTTTGAGCGCGGGAGAAGTTTTGGCAGCTTTCTTCTCACTCCACACAACCAAGCTGCTGCCTCTCTCTCAGCTTGTTATGGCTCCTTGATGCGAATGTGGGGTATTTTTGTAATTTCACGTTTTTTCGCGCAAGTTGTTGTTAACCAACCCCCCCACCGTCCTCACAAAAGATCCCTGTCGAGTGTACCATACATGACGCCAGGTCTGATAGGCTCTCGCTGCCCACCGGCTCGTGTAGGTCTTGAAGCCATGAGTATATGCAGCGAACGGAGCGACGTCAGTGACATCGACTTGGTGCATGGATGAAATCAACAGACTTTTTTTCCTTTTTGCAGGGATTTCCAGCCAAACACACACACACATCTGTCTTTTCATTGGTCAGCCGGTTAGCGCGGTCGATGCTAATAATCAATTATTTTCTGCTGAGCGAGGAGCGGGGCAGAAGGGAAGATGAATCCAACGGGTTTCGTGTGTCCTTGGTTGATGTCCAATGCCTCACTTCGACTGCACGTTGATGCCAGTGTTTTAATGTGCAGGGATTGTGTTGTCGCGTCTCGCCCGACTTCATATGGTCACGGGCTATTGTGTCGCTTGGAGGACAACAATAGCGGTGGACCCATGGGAGATCGGGCTGATGTTTCTCAGATAAGCGCCATTTTGGCCACGCTCGTCAGCTTGCCGTAGTAGAACATGCTTGATGATGACCGCAACATATCAGATTAAGATTCGACATCTTCGTAGCGATGATGCATACCTCTTTGCTCCGTTGCATGCATGACCGCAACAAAATTTCCCTGCGCCGCAGGCGATGCTGCGTGCCATTGCCATGTGGAGATGCTGTTAGCGATTCGGACCGCGCGACTCCTTTTTGCCAACCCAAATCAAAGACTGGTCAATGCTGACGGTCGGTGCGGCCCAATGCGTTGGTTTGATGTAATCCGCTTCGTTGTCCATTATCAGATAGCGCGGATCCGGCGAACGTTGTATCCATCCACGACACCCACACATCGGCACCCATGCTGAACTTATGTATCTATCTACTTTACCCATGGCTGCTGTTCCTTTCTGTCTTGTGCCCTTGAACTGGCGCACGCTAGTCGCACATATCCCCCAGAAATATACCCAGTCCAGCGGGTGAGCAAGTTGAGGCCGTCGTACTATCTATCTAGACTAGATATATATTTTTTTTTTGTTTTTTTTTTATTTTTTCTTCATATGACACAACGAGTCCATTATCTATATTTTGTACCACTGCTGTACCAGGTACGTCATAACAGCAGTCAAGTCTACTTTGCATCGAATGCAATGCGTAGTTTCTTCTTGCCCCACGTCACGACGCACCACTTTTGTGGCGTCATAGAGGAAGTCTAGATTTGTTAGCCCAAACAGGCGGCAATATCGTATGCGTATAATTTTCGAACGGGTTGTTGCTCGTTGATTGAATGACCACTCGTGGTCGTTCAACCGCCCGAATCATCTATTTTTCCGTTCCCAACCGTTATTTTTGGCCGTCACCGCACCGAACTTTCTTGTAGCACGAGCTGCTGCTGCCGTAAAGACACACACCGACGGACAAGCTCCTGCGGTAAGCTTCGTTTGGGCTCGCGCTACCTCGACCCGCGGCCGCCCTGTGCTTGACGCTGCCATCCCGTCCATGTTTGGATTACTTTTTTTTCCCATCCATCCGCCTTGCACTCTCATTGAAACGTTTCTCCACCGGTTTTCCACGTCAAATAAATCGTCGTCAGGTTCGTGAAACGACCACGACAAGATGTCTCCGAAGGCTTTGAGGTGCGTGACCCTGGCGGCCCTCCTAGGTCTAGCCATCCACGCCGACACGACCACAGCAGCCACGAGATTGAAGCCCAGCTCCGACAGCAGCTCCTCCTACAGCAGCTCCTCCGACAGCAGCTCCGACAGCAGCGATGCTACCGCGCCGTCGCCGGTGCCGGCCATGCACGTCTCGAGCGCACCGACGTCCGCCGCCCGCGAAATGAGAACGCCTTCCCCGGCGGCGATGATTGCTTCCACCGCGGCGCCGACCATGGTCATGATGCCCGCTGGCAACGGCACCGCGTTCAACGGCACCGACACCCCTTCCCCAAACACGCCCATCCCCAAACCGGAGTGCAACAGCACCCAGGCGGTGAGCATCCGCTACTCGGCGACGACAGGACGGCTCTACCTCGAGGCTGGCGTGGAAGGGGAGCGCGGCGGCTGCGTTACCGTGGAGCAGATCTGGGAGGCTCGCGGCGGGGGCACCACGGTGAGTGATGATGAGTTTACGGAGGTGGTACTGCTGTGTTGGAGGGCGGTGTGCCTGCGGAAACGTGTTGAATCTCCTTCTGTCTCTCTATCTCTTGTTCAAGTCGAAGGAAACGTCGAAATTCTTCCGTACGCACCTTGTCAAGTTGACGACGACTGCTATCACGATTTGCACTTTTGAACTGTCTGTGTTGTGAGTGTTGGCAGTATTTGCTGGTTGTTTCTGTTCTCTTGTGCATCGACTGGTGGACCATTGCACACTGTTCATCTTACCGGTTCGCTCTCCTCTTGACGGCTTCCGAAACTTGAACTTGTTCATCCTCGCAACATGCATGGGGTTGTGTAACGAATGCCCAAGCCAATGGGGCCTCGTTCGGGCCGAAGCCCGCGTAGATGTCGCCAAAAACATGCGCCAGATTTACTTGGAAAATGACATGGCCACCCTCGATATGGCAGTACGGCCTTGCTAGTGGAGCTAGCTTTGCGTACGGGCGGCAACACGTCGTCTCTTTTCGTTCGGCTATACTTGTGGGCGTGGTCGACCGGTGGTATGAGAATACCATTCTTCAACCAATGCTGCGTGCGTGATGCTCGTTATTGTTCTCGCCTCCGTGGGAGTATGTATGGTCCTCGCTTTGTGCCTATGAGCCTGTCTAGAGCGAAGCAAGTACGGAAGGAGTCACGTATACCCCTTCCGTTGAATTCTCCTTCGTTGAACCATGTGTCTCATTTCTCCTTCCACCGCGTTTAGCCTTGTCTTACACCCGTGGTACTACCATATTGTACATCAGCCATCTGACATCTTGGGGTCCTCGCCTTGTGTCCGCCACTTGCGCCTCACGTTAATCGTGAATGCCTACAGACCGGTGCTAAGGCTCCTCTTTACGCCGTCGACCCTGTATCCGGCGAGTACAGCGACGTCATCACCGGAACCTGGCTGCTCGAGGAAGACCTTTATGTCGAAGACGGCATCACCCTCAAGGTCGGCTACAGACATTTTTTCTTTATTCTCCTGGCCGGTGTGCTTGACGTCACTGGTAATATTTTCTCTCTCTTGCCGATATTGGCTACACTTAGATCTCGATTAGTTTGTGCAGGGTATTAGGCACGGCCGGTGTTTCTTTTGTGTGTATGCGTCAAAATATTCGTCTCCTCACGTCAAGGGCGACGTTGTCAATTGTTTTTCCTCAGATTGGCGTGTACGGTTGACCGTGCTGTGTACACTGCATGGCTAAGAGCGGACGAGAGGTTCCTTTGTGCTCTGGAAGATTGGCCGCACTGCCCACACTAGTTTGGGCTGTAGGATCGCAGCATGTCACCTCCCTTTTTGTCATGACGCCCTTTTCCACCTTTGTCTCTCTGTTCGACCTGTCATCCACTCGAGAGTTGACAGGGATGTTGTTTTGATGTAAGTGGTATGTGGTCGCGTAGCCGTCGCCATGGCTAATGAAATCCTCGAGCTTGTCGCTTCCGCCAACATTTGAGGCCAAGTAGTGCATATGATTGTGAACTTGAGCACAACCTGCGGAGAGATTGATTCCTGTTATCACGAGTTTTCTGTGATAGACAAGACGTCGCTATGACGATGGAGTAAAGACCAAGACCTATACTGCCTGGTTGTGTCGTGCGTGAGTGCTGTGGGTAAGTACGGCGTTGGATGGGGAGATGTCCAACGTCAGGCTTCTTTGGTGCATGTGACACTCCAATCGTTTATTCTTCTCCTTCGATACTGCACCACCGCAGGTGTGGGGTAACGGGTCAGGGGGCTACGCGGACGAGCTGCGGCTTAAGAGCACCCCCCCCACCGAAGACGGAGGGAACGGAACCTACATCAACCTTCGCGCCCACGGCGGGAGCCTCGACTTCGAGCATACCAAGGTGATTTACTGCCGCCTGCATCTCAACGCGTCCGTTGCGCTACTGCACTGAGACGAAATCTCCTGTGCCATTCGGCTCCCTGTTATCGCTCAGGTGGTTAGGCCGGTGTAGCAAAGGCCCCGGGAGCGAACGGTTTGTATACTGTCCATGAGTTATATTCCGCGCTTCGAAGCAATCATTATTGCTTGACTGACGTGGGCTTAAATTGCTCATGTTGCTTGCGCTTGTGCGGCGGTTACCAATATTCCCGCGTCGAATCCCTTGAATCGATAGATAGACTAATTCATCTAATGACAGCAGACTGACTGAGAGGATAAAACGAGTCATGTAGCGTATCGATCGTCTCGCTCTCGCTACCGTACACAAGCCAGTACTGCTGCTTTGCTTACTGCTAACGTCGCCTGAATCCGCCCCCGCAGGTTTTTGGGTGGGACACCACCAACAATTCGTACGACATGGATGAAACTGACGGACGCAGCTACATCAGCGCCGTCTCCGAGATCGTGCTGGACCCTACCCAGACCTGCGAGGGAAACGCCAAGAACACCATGGGCGAGGCGCGCATGGTGAGTGCTACTGTACCGTTCTGTTTGGAAATATAGGGACCACTGGTATATTCATTTCACCCTTGTATGCAAATGGTCGCTGTGTTTTGAAACAGTAGTGGGTATGTAGGAAGCAGGCCGTGTGCGGCCGGTGGTGGTCGTGTGCAAGCACGTCTCCTACCGTAAAGAAAGAATCGTCGAACTCGGGGCAGAGGCCTTTTGTTTTTTTTTGTTTCGTGGTCGCCGCCGTCGAGCAAAGCTTATTATGTTGAGTTCAGTGTAGGACCCATCGCTGAGCTATCATCCTGCGCTTCTTAGTCCTGTTTTGTCAACTTTCGGGAAATTTCAAGCGTCTGTGTCTCAGTTGTCTCGTTGCGACCCCGTTTGTACTACCCTGGCTGCAAAGACGAGTATTCCCCCAACATCGTTTTCCCCATGGAAGTGCTAAATTGCTCCTCAATGTCGACATTGACGATATTCCCCCCCCCCTGCTCGATGTTTGCCATCGGGGTTGGGTTTTCGTCGCTTGGCAACGACGTTGTAAAACAAGCCGTCCCCCTCGGTGTTTGCCATCGGGGTTGGGTTTTCGTCGCTTGGCAACGACGTTGTAAAACAAGCCAATTCACTTCGTGAACTCGGCAACCAGGTTACCGTTTTTTTTTGTTTTTTTGGTAACCTCT